CACAAAAATGGGACATATAGAGTGATAACAGGATATATCAAATTATAAGAAAGTCTTTTTTCACGTTTTTATACATGTTTTTATACATACCCTCCCCCTTTTGTTTAAAGATGTATCCATGGGTCTAGCAGGGGCGAGACGGGACATGATAATTTTTTAGACATGGGTGGGGATGTTGTAGTGAACTCCGCCGCAACACCAACCCATTTTCTAGACATGGGACCGTAAGTGAATAATGTCTGAGATTCAATGATGGCTGAGTGTCGTAGTTAGGCTTGAGATCGGTTCAGTTCTGGTTAAAATTCAATGGATCCTACTAGTAATTGTAGGCGATAAATTCAGTTCGGTTCTAATTAAAAAAATGTAGTTGTTAAATTCTATTTGGTTCTAGTTAACTTCGGTTCACTTCTTACATTTTTCGATTCCTTATGAAAATTTATTATCCACCTAAAATGAACACATTACATTCAGTTACATAAAAAAACCAAATTTCAAATCATGAAAATAATTGTCAAAATCATGACCATTATATTATATATAAACATGATATACCAATATTCAAATATCACAAAAATATCCAAGTGTAAACATTAAATTTAAGAATAACAAAAATATAAAGGTTTAAAATAGACATCGACTACCAAAAAAAGTTTAATAGCTCCAAGGTACACAACCAATAGCAGGTAGTTGAAACCCAAAATAATATTCTTATACTATTAATGCATTATTAGTAAAAAAATACGCATCAATAAATTGATCGATAATATTAGTAATTTACTATTAACACGTAATAACGTAATGAGTAGAATATTAATTCATTTTTAGGTGAACTCAAATAAAGAATACAATTACAAACAAACAATAAATATAAAACTACACTTCTCTAAAAAAACGTAAACTAAAATAGTAAAATTACAACTACTCGGATTGATGTGACGCACATTAATAAGGTATACGAAGAATTATGCATGATAAATATTCCTACAAGAATTTACTGACAAGAGCGTTGTCTGGCCGCATTCATTTGAGGTACTTCCGTGTAGATTTTTTTGATGAGATTTTGTAACTGTTTATTACATAAAATGTAGATTATATCCACCAAATGCAACATAATATTCCACCTTAAAGTGAGTTAAATAAAATATTGAAAAACTTTGCGTTACACACATATATATTGCCATAATGTTTTTAAATAATTTATTTAACCAACTTACGGATTGAATTTTAAGATGAAGTTTGGTGCACATAAATCTATATTTCATGTAGATTATCATGAACACAAAATATCACCGAAAAATTCCACTCAAAGCACCTCAAATAAATAAGAACTTAGGTTAGTATTAGAGCATCTCCAATGCTATAATGTCCACGGTGCACATGTGGCATGAGTGATGATAGCCACATAAATATTAGCAAATAAATTATTTCTCTCCTTATTTGAATGATTTAATACAATTTTGGTAAGTTTTTCCCTGCAATGTCAACAACAATGTCAACATTTAGACGGTCTCCTTGACAGTGTTGAGAAAAACTTACCAAAACTGTATAAAATCATTCAAATAAGGAGAGAAAGAATTTATTTACTAATATTTATGTGGCTATTTTTCGAGTTCGTATACTATACAACCGGCTGTACGGTGAGCACCGTACAGCCGGCCCAGTAACAGGCCCAAGTGAAAAATAGCAAAATAATTCGGTGGCATTTTTGTAAATAATGTAGAAATCGCGGTTTCTGCTAAATGAGCATTAGTGTACGGTTAATGAGCAATTGTCCACATTTAATGAGTATTACGCCTCTAATAATGAGCACCGTATTATTACAAGAAAACTTATATCCCAACTAAAAAATGGCGGAATTTCGTAATTTCAGTGGAAATCGAGATTTTCATTAGATGAACATTAATACACTTTTAATGAGCACCAGACATATTCTACTGAGCATTAAGAGTCGAATAATGAAGTGTTGTGATATCGACTTCAAATATTGTAATTCACTTTCTTTTTCTTATTTTTCTTTCATAAAAACTCATTAAATTATATCTATAATCAATTCCTATGAATTTCAATATGTGAATCTAATGTAATATGATACTTTTGAAATATGCATTGTTATTGTTATGACATTTTAAAAATGAGCATAACATGAGTACCAATTGAGCAAACGTAATTTACAAAATGAGCATTGAAATGAAAATTATAAGTATTTTTAGTTGAGCATCGAGACTTTTTCAGTGAGCATCAAACTTCCACTATGAGTATTAGAAACAAGAAATTGAGTATGATTGTATGTGCTCTCGTATCTATAATCAATTCTTATGTTAATCTAATGTAGTATGATATTCTTAAAATATACATTCATATAACATTTTAAAATGAGCACAAAACCAATAACAAATGAGCATATATAACTTACAAAATGAGTATCGAAAAATTCAAAATTCATTTGAAAATTTTAATATACTCAAATATTCATCTCCTCATTTCTTTTTTAAAATGAAACGGAGTAAGTTGTGGACCTATTTCTTATTAGTGGGTTGACTGAATTTTCAATTCCAATTCAATCAACACGTACTACGACATTGTATTAATTAGCTAAAGGAAGTTTGAACATCAAACTTTCTTTATTGAGTATTAAAATCATGCAATTGAGTATCATGGTATGTGCTCCCGTAGGTATAATCAACTCTCACTCGAATCTAATGTAATATCGTACTTTTGAAATATGCATTGATATAACATTTTAAAATAAATATAACACCAGTACCAGATCAGCATACATAACTTACAAAATGAATATCAAAAAATTCAAAAGCTCACTTGAATTCTCTAACGTGTATAAATATCCATTTGTGTATAGTATGCTCATTTCTTATAATCATTATACTCATTTGAATAAATCATAAACTCATTTTATCGTTATGCACATTTATTATAAACATTGTACTCATTTTCAATATACGAAGTAACATAATACTTATGTTAATAACAAATAAGCTAAAAATATTAACCTACAATATTAAAATATAATATCATAATACAATATTAAAATACAATATTAAAAAACAAGTTGAACTTTGAGGATTCAGAGAACTAAGAGCATCTTTAATGGGGAAGTGGATTGCACTCCATAAAATGTGGACATGTCACTTATATAGACGGTCTATAGAAGTGACGTGGACGCGTATACGGTTAAAATAAAATTTGCACTCCAATGCAATAATGCATTTACGCTACAATGCAGTTGAAATAAAATACTCTGTAAAAAACATCCTCAAGGAACTATGGATTATTTTCCTCTCCCCATTGATAATATGTAAATAGACGTAATTATTTTCCTACCACAAAAACAACGTAACTGCAAGTTAATTAAAACCGGACTCCAATTTGAAGCTTCAATTTTTGAAGAAACCCCAGGTAATTATCGGATTGATAATCCGCATGTTATTTTCCTACCTTGAAAGCTTCAAGGTTTGAAGAACCGGACTCTACTGATGAGTACCCGCCATTCCAAGATCAGAAATCAGGTCGGCAGTTGCCTCTCCAACCTGTGTTCATGAATCGACTAGATGTCGTTCCACCGCCGCTCCCATGTGTTCACCATCAAGCCTCTTCCTTCTCTGTGCGCCGGTCGCCATAGCCGTCCGCCGTTTCTATAGCTACAGCTCTGCCGACCCTCGCCCCTCACATCTTTGCATTTTTATATATAGCCCTACACCGTTACCAGTATATACTGTGTGTGAAACTGGAACAACCGCGGGTTTAATATCCTTTTCATATAATTCATCCAATTAATTAAACACATATATACATTCTAATTTGTGTTCACCCATAGTTCACGGAGATGCGGAGGAACCCATAAATTAATTAATTGCTGAGTCAGAGTGTGAGAAAGCCTTGCTGAAAATCCACAGAGCAGTAGAAGGCGTGGGTTTTTTGCCATTCCAGCTCATCAACGCATGGTGTATTCACGGTTCCGTTGGAGACGTTTTTTTTACTTCCCTTCATTTTCTATTACGTGGCTATGCATTTTGGAGAATAGACAAGCCCATTAAAGATGCTCTAAAATACCGAGCAGACTTTCCCTTCGATAGAAGCCCACAAGCTACAACGTACGAAGCAGACTTTACCTAATCTTCGTTCCTTCATTCGCGCAGCGAGCAAGCAGCAGCCGCAGACATCGATCGGAACTCCTGGACTTCAGCAAGCATCGATCTGCGCCTCCGTCACCAATCCCACGATCCCAGGACACCAGCGAGCAGCAAAATATGGAAGACCTTTACCCTTGAAGTTGTAATTAATTTCAAAAATACCCGGTTGTACGGTGATCACCGTACAACCGGGTGTACGGTATAATTTACGCTATTTTTCACGCCACGTGTGCACCATGCACATTTTACTGTCCAGTAACCTAACTGGGACTAATTAAATACTATCATCTGTTTCGTTTTAATCGCAATATGTTGAATTTTACACTATTCACATGTTCTACTTTGACTACATTATATATTATTATTTTATGAAAATTATTTTTTAAAAAAAGTATTGTTCAATTCATCTCATTACAAATTTTCAAAATCTAATTTTTAAATATTTTTTACTAATAGAGATTAAGATATAATTACTGTTAAAGACGTGCGTTGGCAAGTGTGAAATGTCCACCGTTGCAACTAAAAAAGAACTAAGGAAAAAGAATGGAGGAAGTAATATAGGAACTGAACCCACCTTACCGTCTGACGGCGCTTGTGGCGTGTAAGTGAATATACGGATTCCGGTGAATAATATCCTTCAGTGAGTTCAGCCAAAAAGGACTGAAAGGAGCAGCCGATCGACGAACCTCCCACCCCCGACCGCCGACGCTTGGACGCCTGCCGCCCTGTCCCTTAGATTTCTCAGTCCAGCATTCCTCCCTCCCCTTCCTTCTGGAGTTCTGGTGCGGCGGTTCCAGGTGCGCTTCCACCTTTTGGCCTACTGCAAACTACGCTTCACCCATTCAGCGATTCGTGCCTTTCCCTTTTCAGGCTTCAGGTATTACTGACCTCCTTAACTCTTTATTCTTTTATGCATTAATTGATTATTCATGATTCAATAGTTGCTTATATGTTTGTAAATGAATAGTTGATAAATAATTAGTTTATTAGTTGGATGTTGAGTGTTGATAAATGACTATTTCACATTCATAATTCTTGATTGTTATGATAAATGTTATGTGTTAATCTGTTCTCCGGTTGTCTATGTTGCCGTTAGTTGATTAGTTCATAGTTTTTAAGCAATTTGTTCATAGTTGTTGACTTGTTGAATTTTAAGTGATTAATAATTTTCGGTTATGTATTCAAATTCGGATTTTGTTTTGGCATCATAATTTGTGCGCTAAAATTATTCAATTGTAATTAAATTTATAAATTTAATCAAGTTCAAAGTGTAATAAAATGATTGAATCTGGGTGAGAAAGGACAAAAGAGGAGAAGATTAGACAAAGAGGCCCTAAGTAAAAAGGTTGGGTGGGAAAATTTGTATGTTTGAAGAGGTCGAATTCTAAATGTTCTCCTCAAGATGAGAACTCAGAATAGAAGAATGATTTAGCTATAGAAAATGAAATGGTTCAGAATGATCATGTTAGTTTATCCGTCCCTAGGCCTTTAAACAGACAGGACCGACCCTGCCCGTAGTTGTAACCCCAATCAACTTCAAAGAGTGTTCATAGTGGCACAAGATTCCTAGACCTCGAGCAAGGAGGAAGAGGCACATTATGAAGACAAAGAAGCCATTGTCAGCACTCAAACTCTCCATTCCTACTGAAGGGACCAACATTTCCAGCTTCCTGTAAGTCTCTTTTTTACTTAAGTATTATCACTTCCACGTTCAATTTATTTGGAAGTGTCTCTTGAGAATGGGTGGAGTCGATTCTTGATCGGCAGGACCGCCAGTGGGACATTTCACGATGGAGACTTGCTTTTGAATCAGAAAGGTCTCAGATTAGCTTCCCTCGAGAATGAATCTCTGGCAAGTCTATCCTTCAATCACTGTCAAATAAATCTAGTAATTTTTAAGTTCTTCATGTTTAAACTGATAACTCCTTCAACACCTTGTCTTTTTAATATTCTGGAGCCATTTGTTCTATTTTCTCTTCGTTTTTATACACTTCTTTCATTGAGACAAAAATGAAAAGAATGCTTCAAGAAATTTAGGGCAGGTGGCTAATTTTGAAGAGCTAGGTTAAAGGATTAAGATGATCATTTTTTGACTGTTGTTGTTTTCCAGCATTGTTACTGGCTGCTGCATTGGATAATAGTTTTACTCGTATACTCTTATAACTTTCCAGCCTTCAGAAACAAAGGAGATTGACCTTCAGTTCTCTTTGGAAGATCTTGAGACAATCAAAGTAATTGGAAAGGGAAGTGGGGGTGTAGTTCAACTTGTTCGCCATAAATGGGTTGGCACTTTGTTTGCTTTGAAGGTCAGTGTATGTTTCATGAGTAGTATGTACAAGTTTCCCTTATAATTCATCATTTTCATGAAATAATCCGTATATGGTTGTATGCATGCCTTTGGCTGGGATTTGTATGGGCTCCTTGATTTGGTGTTCTTTAGTCTTTATAGTTTTGCTGATTCTAAATAACAATCAGTCAATCACTGATGCACTTGTCCTTTTGGGTGGTGAAAATACTTAATACTTTAATAGCTCATCTGAAGTATGACTCTGAAAAATGTCACAATTGGTTCTTCAAATTTGTGGTTTGTAGAATGTGCCTGTTTGGTAAGTTTTTTGTTGAATCACTTAATGAAATAGTCAAACAACACGACACTTCTACTGTAGTTCTATCTTAATTTAAAGGTATTTTTTATTTACTTTAAAAAATAATCTAAATATATTTTTAGATATATTTAACAAAACTAAGCATTTGATCCACAATTATATCATACTCAGCCATTTCAGGCCTTACCAATTGGGCTCTAAGCAAACATCCTTCCATGTAAGAAATATCGCATAATCTGTCTTTTGTTGGTTGGTCTTAAGTTTTCGGTCTTCGCCTTGTAGAAGTCCTTTTTTATCATGTGATTGTTACTTTAATCTTAATTTTAAAATTTTATGTTTGGTTTATCCTAAAATGGTTACTCTTTTTTCTTTCCCTTCTTATACAGGTTATTCAAATGAATATACAAGAGGAAATTCGTAAACAAATTGTGCAAGAGCTGAAAATAAACAAAGCATCACAGTGTTCACATGTAGTGGTTTGCTATCACTCTTTCTATCACAATGGAGCTATTTCTCTGGTGTTTGAGTACATGGATCGCGGATCACTGGCAGATGTAGTAAGACAAGTTAAGACTATTCTCGAACCATACCTCGCAGTTGTTTGCAAGCAGGTTTGAATTGAATACTCAACATATGAAATTTTACATATTAACACACTCTTGGCAATCTATATGATGATTTTCTCAACAGAATGTTCGTATTTTAGGTCTTGCAAGGTCTTGTCTACTTGCATCAGGAGAGGCATGTAATCCACCGAGACATTAAACCTTCAAATCTGCTGGTGAATCACAAAGGAGAAGTAAAAATTACAGATTTCGGTGTGAGTGCAATGCTTGCCAACTCTGTGGGTCAAAGAGACACATTTGTCGGGACTTGCAACTACATGGCGGTGAGTATAGTATTTCATCATTAACCTATTGATAACACACAATATTTGTTGGTTCAGTACTTCTATGTTATCAATGTGTTTCGGCCTTGCTTGGTGAATTGCTTTTTAGAAAGCTTGTAACTTTGTCGATATGAATTAGCTAAAGTAACAGAAGACCCAATATAAAAAAAATTACTTAGGATTTTTTGAGGAAAAGCTTTTGAAAAGATTCTCATTCCACATTCTATACATTCAAACAGCGAACAACAGCACCGCTTCCCTCTGTCTCATTTTAAAACTGCCACTTCCCTTTATTGTTTGTTTCACAATTATGTCCATATTTTTTAAGCACCGCTGACTACCACTTTTGAATTCTGCCCCTTTAAGATTTGACGCATGGACCCACTAACAAATTATCATGTCTCTGGGCTTTTATGTCCCTACACTGAGTTTTGCTGTTCTCTGCCATATCTATTAGAAATTTAGAATCATGTGTGGTGCCAACACCACTCAACACTTATAATACTTGCATCATTACTATTTCACCAAAATTCACCTACAATTCAATCCCAAGTGAACATATCATTCTACTGCTTGGAGCACATATTTATAACAGCATAATTGCAAAACAGATCACATAAGAGGTGGCTAGCTGCATTAGGAAGTAGGAACTACCCAAAGTGTTCTAACCTGCAAAACTAAAGTATGACACAAACTATCCATAATTGGCTCAATTAAAAGTTAATTCTGCATGTTTGAAATTGTTCCATTTAACGCCTCCAGATCGTATGAGATACTGGTGGGAAGGTCTTCTTGCTCCAACTTTAGCTTATTTATGGTGGTCATTTATAATTATTCCCTGCATTTTTTTAATTACCACCCTGCATAGCTGAAATTTCATGAAAAGTCTTTTGAGTAGCTGAAAGCCTGCAAGCCTCAACAAGTTCATCCAAATTATGTGGTGCTTCCAGATATTGCAAATTTGCAATGACTGCATCTCTGAAATCTCATACCTAATACAATAATGCCTGAGCTATTTGGAGGTTGTGGTTTTAAGCGAATATCAATGCCATCCTTTAGTTCATCCTCTAGAAAGTAGAAACTCAACATCATTCACACTAATATGTGGTCTTGCATGATCTTTCTAAACAGAATATAGTCTGGGCAATTTGGAGGACACTTTTCGCATATTGCTGGCTAAGTGGCAATGTGTATTCAATCAATCACTTTCTAAAAACATCTTTATTTACCGATTCATTTGGCTTGGTTTCTGTCCTTAATGTAATGCCTTATTTTGTATGTGTTCCTATGAAAATGAATCTGTCCATTTTTTGGGGGGCTCAAAGGGGCGTGGAAACGAATTAGAACTCAACTACAGTTCCTGCCCGTCCATTTTAACTTCCACACTGAGCTGCTTCTCTATGAGTGAACATAAAGATACTGATATTTCCATAAAACATTTCATTTTTTATAAATCATATCGAGGGCAAGCAATCACACATGACACAGAAACATAACCTTTTGATAAACTTTTTAATTTTACCAGTACAAAATGGCTCATTCCCTCCCGGCAATAATTTGTAATTTAGTGCAGTCCTTGAGAGAACAAGCCTCTTTTCATCTATATGAGCATGACCACACATATCTATAAAGGTTGGGTTATAAGGCATCAAATTGGGTTCAAATGACATCCAAAACTATAATCTTACCTTCCAATTTTCATCTGTTAATGCAAGCTTTATAGCATTTGAGTGAGCCTTTAGAGAACCTTCCTTGAGAGTTGTTTTTAACATGCTCAGGGCAGTAGCCAATGATCGAATTGTTGTAAAGCGTTTCAAAGGAAGTCTGCCAATTTCAATAGCATTGATCTCTTACTTTTTTCTGCCAACGTTTACTGAGAAGTTCAAAGAAGAACCAAACAAAAGAATGTTGTCAGCAAAGAAAATCTCCTTTTCCAATATGTAAATGGACTGATAGGACTCTGGGCAGATTAGGACTGATAATAATAATGAGAATAATAATAATAGTAGAAGAGTGAGTATAAATAGATGCTGAGGGTAGATTAGATGGAGGTTGGAAATTATTCTTTTGGCTTGGGACTTCAGAGTTGGCACTCTTAAACTGCCTCTGTATTTCTCTCTCTATACTTTCTGTTATACGACATCTCTTGTCTTCATATTTGATTCTTGAAATATCTGTGAAATTAGCTGGTTACCTATCATGGACAGTGTGAGCATATATAGAATTTGAAAAGTAGCCGCCCTTTTCTCTCTAGATTGCTTATTTCCGTGACTTAAAGGTCTCATAGTCGTCAACACGTCTTCATTGATAGTCTACGTTAATAATTAAGAAAGATATGGTAGGATGAGTACTGATCACTACAGGAAGAGTTTTTATAGCAATGCAGTTTTTTTGTAATTTAAATATACAGGTAAAAATCGGTGGTTGAACCAATTTTGGGAGGAAAATATTAGAGCCTATTTTTCATAGAAAGAGCTAGTGGATGAATCTATTGATTGAAAAGTACGGAAAGCTACCACCATTTTCCCCTCCAAAATCTAACCTTGATTTTGAAGCATGAATCTATATTCGCTAGAGTTTCTGAAGATAAAGTTCAAGATTACTTGCTTTTAAAGAACAGGTAAAGTTGATCAAGAGAGATTTACAATGAATGCATCCAACTGTAAAGTAAGAGTACTTCATATGAATCTTTTACTGTACGTAAATGTCAAATTCAGAACATGATTCCTTTATTGTAATTAAATGTCAAATTCAGAACATGAGTAACTTAGGAAAATTCTATCACATACCACTTGTTTTCTTATAATCTATGTGAAAACAAATGGGGACCTATAGAACGGACAGAAGAGTAATTGCTATTACCAATATCCTCAGAAAAGCAGTTACAGTAAAAAAAAAATTGGGTCAAAATAGCTAAATTCAAACAGCTAATTACCAAATAGGGTCTTGGTCAATTCTGTGTCATCTAATCATGTCTAATGTTTATATGTTCCTTCCACCATATTGGTGATTAAAAACTAATTATGATATTGCTTAGTCAGCTGTGTCACTTGTGCCTTCTACTGATCTCTGATCGTTCATATGTTCTTTCCATCATACTGGAGCTTAAATTGTAATTATGATAATAAGATAATTATATAGTGACACCTTCTGAACTTTCTTTAAGCCTGAAAGAATTAGTGGGAAAACATATGACTATAAGAGTGACATCTGGAGTTTGGGCATGGTGATTCTTGAGTGTGCTATTGGACGCTTCCCTTACATACAGTCTGAAGACCAGCAGAAGTGGCCAAGTTTTATTGAACTTCTGCAATCAATTGTTGGAAGTCCTCCACCTACTGCTCCGCCGGATCAGTTTTCTCCAGAGTTCTGTTCATTTGTCTCTGCCTGGTAAGATTTGTAATAACCTTGCCTCTTACATACATGAAAGACTGTTAAACACGCTCCACATGATCACATTCATCATCTTACCTTCATCCTAACTGTGTTTGGGACACTGGCATAAAACTTATTTTGTCAATTAGTTGTGTAAAACTACGCCACACTCTAATTCATTCATAAACATAGAGCCAAAGTGTTATGCCAGATATCTTGTCACAAAGTTTCAAAGCCATCGCCTTCATTGAATTTCAACTTGTGGAAAATTTCAAGAGATGTCGATGAATTGATACACTCCATCAGTCCAAAAAACTGTCTTGTCTGGTCAAAAGGTACAACGTCTTAATTTTGGAAAGCTACAAGCCTACAACATAAAAAATCTTGAAAAATCATACTTGTGATTGCAAAACATATTTGTGAGTGTATCTATTTCTATCATATGTTACTTGTTTGTAAGATTTTATGGAAATTAATTGGGAAATTACATGAAAAAATAAGCTTCATTTGGGAAGTAAATTTTTTTTAAATTAAACAGAAGTTTTCATAACATGACTCTTTTTTGGGATAGAGAGTAGTCATGTTCCATTGCGAAGTTGATATCATAAAATCAACGCACACATTAGAGCGTGCCTAATACTCCACCTTATCATCGTAGTTCTTACCCATGATTACGTAAGGAACAATGATTAATTGATTATTAAACTAATTTCTTGTTTTGCTGTGCTGGAATTTTAAATGCTCAGCATACAAAAGGACCCAAATGACAGATCTTCGGCTTGGGACCTCTTGGTCAGTATACTTTAGTTAGGTTCTTTTTCGTTCTTTCTGTTAATCTTTTGCCTCCTATTACGCGCACGTGCTTACTACCTGCTTTTTTGCACATTCAGAGTCACAGTTTCATTAAGAAGTTTGAAGACAAGGACATTGATCTCAGCATCTTGTTTGGTAGCCTCGAACCTCCAGTGAATTTCACACGCTAATTGTGTTTGTGTGTGCAATATGATCTTTGTTCGTGTGCACTGAGTCGGTGATTGAGCTTTGTGTGTTGTATCTTTTTTTAAAACTTAGTTTCTATTGATTTTTATTTTTTGATGTGTAATATGAAATATGTAATCCGCTAATCCCTGATATTGCTGTCTTTTTACTCTGTTTTTTAAACTAAATTATACAGAGTATATATTTGTAATGCAATGAGATGACATTGAAATAACCAGATTATCTCCTAGTTTGGAGAGTTCAAGCTGTCTTTACATCCATAACTTTTGTACACCTTACAAGTTCATAGATGCGAAATTCAGAATCTTCAATCTTTTTCGTTCTTCCTTTATATTAGCATAAGTAAAACTTCTTGAAATTATGCACTACAAACATTTTTTGTTTGTTTGTGTTGAAACAACATCGAGGTAACATAAGAAAAGGGCACATTCAGACCCCATAAAACTTGGAATGTATTTCTTTTCTGTTCAAAGGAAAACAAGTTCTATTAATCGCAGAGAAAAGTGAAATTGTAAGCTAAGCAATTGCACAATCTAGAGTATAGATATTAGATACCGCATTAAAAAATAGCCATAGAATCCTATATTAGCGGAAAAAGTTCGTCGCCTGCACTAGTGAAAACAATTCCGCCGCACTATACTAGGGGGAAAACAAATCAATCCCTGCACTAACGAAAAAAAATTCACTCCCTTGATTGGAAATACTGGATCCATCCCTGTGTGCGTATGCATTATGCACCTTTGAATGGAGCCTCATTATTAGATGCATTAATTATGTAGAAATGAAGAACATCGGTATATGTCATTGCTAGGACACCCATTTATGGACTAAAAAAGAGAATGGATTTATGAGACAATTAAAATAAGCGAATCTCAAGAAATATGGTCTGTAAAAAATTAATATGATCTAGCCGCAGCTGCCCCCAACATACAGAGTAATTGGATAGGGCTGTGAAAGAAGCTATTGATATCAAGTATGTCTAGTTTACGGAGGCGGTGATCAAAACTAGTTTTTGGACTGGGGATACACACTTTTACACATGTCTGTGTAGGTTTTTTTGTCTGTATACAAACAAAAAAAATCTACACAAACATGTATAAAAGTGTGTACCTTTAGAATTTTTCTTAAAATTATTACTATGTAACAAATTGCCTTATAGGAGCATGGTTCGAAAAGAATAGAAACATGTTTCAATGATTCCTTTATAGGATTAAATTTGTGAAATGACCGTATTATCCTTGAAACAACTTCCACAATTTTTCTAATTGTTCAACCAAACTACGTACGACGTAGTATATGATATCCTGCTGATAGAGTCGATAGACCATACAAATTACAAAACGTGTCTATACATATACCGATATACGGATATACCATGATACCTCTTGGACATTTGGACGGTTCATTATGAAATTATGTAATACGTAGTATTATTATTAATACGTTATTTGTTTATGTTGAGATATTTGATTTTTCTAGTATTTATCGAGATATTTTTACCAAGAAAAAAAATCATTGTTGGTGTCTTCATTTTACGAATCACTTTGTACAAAGTTCACCATAAGCTCTATATCCAAGAGTTGCTTAGCAAGTAACTTTTCGTATACCAAGGGGGTGAGATCTTCAATTATAAGCATGTAATAAAGTTTTGAACATAGTTTTACAAAAATAACTTTTCGTATACTAAGGGGGTGATATCTTCAAAAATTATGATTATAGGACCCAAGTAGGGGTGGACCGGTCCGGTCCCGATCGTTGGTAGGAGAAGCTCGGGTCCGACCCATTTAAATCCGGGTCTGGGCCAGTTCTAGATACCCAGGATGTTCGCTCCCGGTCCCGGTCCCGGTCCATACCCGGCCCAATCTATTTTTTTCGGTTTCCCCCGCTTCCAATCCCAAAAAAATGGCAGATACTAAGCCTAACCGCCTGGTTTGGTCACCAAATTGGTGAATCGAGACCGAATAACATGCTTGGGCAAACTATGGGCGGTACGGGTACCAGACCTGAACCGGATTTTTTGGACCCGGTCCGATCCCAACCATTGCCAAACTCGCTCCCAAACCGGGCCGGGCAGCCGGACCGGGACCACCCCTAGACCTAAGTAAAATCAACTGTTTAAATACTTTTGTATTCGTGAACAAGGCACAAAATTAAACTTGTTTAGTTTTTTTTTTTTTTTCTCAACTCTTTTTACCTAAACTATTATTTAAATTATATACTCCATATACGATAATCGATCTTGAATAAAATAATAAAGCAAAAAACGTGTGGTAGATATTTGTAGAGAAGAGATATAAATCACAGGAGCACAAATTCATTGATTAAAAGGAAAGTTTTTGAGAAAGTTGACAAAGTTACAAGGGATTGGGAGAGTACATATTAGGGATGTTTTTACGTGGATTGAAATTTTCTAGTCTGATCTGATCTGGTAAATGTTTGATCTTTGTGTATTTTATAACTGTTCAAGTTTGAAATGATCTCATCTGGGGCTGAAAATATTCCAAGTAAAAACATCCCCTAAAATCATGCTTATGTACAACAGCAAGCGCAAGTGTGTTAAGCTTTTCAAGCAAAGGATGATAGTGTCATTAACTTTAGTTACATTGGACAAAATGGATGATCATTAACACACAAAATCACAAATGCCATTAAAAAATTACGCAAATCAGACATTAGGTGAAAAAAAGATTCACAAGTTACGTTAGAACTGTACTGATTCGTATTCAGGTTATGTTTATAAATACACATTTCTGTGCCTCTTTTTTGTTGTCCGGATACATTGATACAAATATGTTGCATTGGCATGTCACATGTCGGCAACAGACCAAAGATATGCTTCTTTTTCAGTTGCTTGTTTTTCATTAGTACGCTTGAACAGTTGTTTCTCATACCCTACAAAATGAAGTCACAAAACACAGTATTATTACTAAAATCTCAAAGTTGAATATGGAGTTAAGAAACAGAACGTTTCAAGAAGCAGAACACAGAAAGCCAAGTGAAAGTTTACCGTTACTGCGGTCAACACCGTCCCAGTGCCGCCCTGGTTTAATACCATATCGATTGGGCGCCGCTTCCAACCCTCTTCGAATCCAGCTGTGAGGAGGAACTTCCTGAGGGATTACAAAACCTGATTCTTTCATTCTATCATCCAAACCTAAGTCGGGCAGAAGAAGAGCCTGGTCCGCTTGCTTTTTCTTGACCAAATGTGCCATCGGATCACCCCATCTCAACCTTTCCTTGAGCATATTGTCCAGTTCAGGATCATCTCTGCTTCTAGCAAATGGTTTTTCCTTTTCGCTTTCTAATTCCTGAAGCCTAGCCTCCATCTCACGCTTTTGAGCCAAACCCTTGCCCCATTCCAGCTTTATTTCCTGATGTGAAGTGAAGATACAATAAACCATTTAATGATTATTTTGAGCAATAGGCACAACTGTATAAGCAATCATAGATGACAATTGACAAGTGATACAATCAATTTTTATGCAAGAAATCAGGCATCTGCACAATACACGGTTACTCTGAATCGATATTTGATACCGTAGTTTTAAACAACAAAAAACAATCCCAGAACTCTTGGCCATCAACCATATATTGTTTTAAAGCAATTTTACTTTTTTAAAGGTAAATATAGGTTGAAGCATCTCTCCAATAGCAATTAATTTAAAGGCTGAACAAAATAATTTTTAAGCGATGACACACACACATAATCATACATTTTAACTAGATTAGGTTACTAAATGTTCAGATGGTAATCTGAACATTATTGTAAGATAGTTTAACGTTTGGCATTATAATCTTAACAATGATTACACCAAAGATGTAGCTACATCTGCCCCAGACTCCATTATAATCTGCAGTTTGTCAACCTTAGTTTCGTTGATTGGAAATGCATCTTTCGCTATGTTCTGTGTTTTGTGACTACGCTGAATTAGTTAAGGAAATTGAGGAATTTGTCAGGTTTGACTATAAGGGCGACAGATTTAACTCTATGTTTTATCCTTTGCACCAATTAGTTGTCTGTGGTTTGTCTCATCTTCCATTGTGGATGGAAATATGTAAAATTATAGCAACAACGAAAACAATAATAATTACAAGTTGAAGGATAAGACATGTTTCAAGAAAAGTCATGTTTCACCAAGGTGCAAGTATAAAACTGTAGTCATGTACAAGAGCACAACACGTTGAAATCATCAATCATACTCAATACTCAGGTATATCAGTATATTTTTAAGAAGTTTAACTAAGATTAACATGTTTAACTTGTTTGGAAACTTTATATGAAACATAACATAAAGTTTAATAAAATTTTCTTGTTTTGTTGAAAATTGAAATAGGTAGACAAAATATGTTTTCGAGGTGGACTCGTTTTAGTGGGGCGTGCCAGACTGCCAGAGTATACTTTAAAGATAAAGATGGTGGCAAGAAATATTTGAATGAATTCGGTAATAAAAAGATATAAATATTTACTTGTGCAGGATTAAGACTTAAAGGACAATTATAAGCTCACACTTTCACAAAAATAAAAAGGTTATAGCTATATAATTAAGTGTGGATATTGTCCACCTGCTGTAGAATGCAGTTTTGTGACTTGTAAATTTGTAATATAGCAGCACATTAGTACAAAATGGCATATAGTAATACCTTAGGCTTCTCCTTCTCTTTCTTTTTATGAGACTTCAAAAACTCTTCCTTAGACACTCGTTCTCCTGCAATGTTAAAACTGATATTACACAACATAAACACCAAATTAAGTGATCACAATTTGGTTTAATCCTTTTTTTCTGCTGACCTGTCACTTTGTCACGATAAACCCCTGCAGCACCCACGCCACTAACTGAAGGGTCCATTTCTTTAATCCTATAAAAATGGAAAACACATTAACTGGCAACTCAAAACCATTCACCAAAGGAAGAGGTCCACATTACAATCCCCACACTTAATCTACTTGGCTCTACAAGTCCAAGTTCATGCATGAGGTAGAAAAATAAAATAAACTGGTAATTACAGAAAAATAAAAGGCTACCTCAACCACTCTTCTTTCTTTGTTTTAGCAATCTCATCTTTGACATCCTTTGCTGTGACAAGACCTGTCTTTGGCCTCTGTTTTACTACAGCAGGCGATTGGACTTGTTTCTTCCTTGGCGGAGACAAGTCCATATTAGATTTCTCATCATTTGCAGACAACTGACTTTTTCTTGGTGGTGACATGTCACTATTAACTTTTGAAGATTTGCGTGCAGGTGACAAGTCATCATCTTGCCTCCT